TACAAATGTCTAAATATTTAGAAGAAAACCTTGGCTTCCTGAGCATTGTTAAGTTTGTGTTTTCTTATCTGCACTTTAAATTGACTTCTAAATTTTTAGGTAGAGTTTTGTAATTATTTTGCAATACTTTTGTCTGATAAATGGAAAGTAATAGTTTGTGTTTCAGATTTTCTTCCTACAGTTTAAGTGTTATAAATGCCTGTATAGTAAATAGCATCTTTTTAAAGAATACAATTTGCTGACTTTTATATATGAATACAGCAATTAAAGTTTCACCATATTCTAGATTCAAGATAATAAACACAATCCTCCCTCTCTAAAGTTTTCTCCTCCTCCTTTTTAATCCATCTGTCCTTCTCCCTCTTACTATCTTCCCCCTGAGCTGCCATTTCATGTAATGGAGTCATACGGAACAGGTATTGTTCTTGTTCTGGATTCTGTGAGGTCAGCAGAATTATTTTCACATTAATCCATATTGTTTTAAATATTAATAGTTTGCTGGGTTTTTTTTTTTAATTGCTGAGGAAAATTCCTTTGTATGGACATATGGCAGTGTATCTATCCTGTCCCTTGGAAAGAGATAGGAGGCTTGATTTTTCCACTTGGTCTTTGTTCCCAAAACCAAAACTCAGAAAGCAGTACGTCTGCAAGATTTCCCTGTGTATCCTTGCATTTTGCAACTGCATGATCAATTGACAGAGAAAACATCCAATTGATATTGTGTCTAAAATTGTTCAAACATATAGATTATGAATATTAATTATTTTGGAACTCTTGTTCAAAGAAAAAATCACTGACAGGAGACAAGTGATTTCGGCAATTACCATCAACATTTTATTATAAAAATGTTCAATGTTCATACATATAGCATTGGTCTGTTAACATTTTAATGAACATGAATTAACATATATCTACCCATCTTTTCATCCATCTATCCATCCATTATCCCATCTTACTTTTGATGTATTTCCAAATGAATTTGAGACATGAACATACTTCCTGCTGAATAATTAAGCAAGATTAACATTAACTAGAATTCAGTGTTTCTTTATAAAGTCCCTTTCTGAAGAAGAGCAACATAGAAGAAAATATACAAATCTTAAGTGTAAGTTTACTAACTTTGAAAAGTAGATACACCAGCATAACCCAACCTCCTTTCAAGATCTGCAATATTATGTCACCCCAGAAAGTGAACTCTCCCTCTTCCCAGCCATTCCCTTTCTCATCATAGGTTAATTTTACTTATTCTGAAATTTCATATATATAGATACATGCCATGGCATAGATACTTGTTTGTATCTGCCTTATTCTGCTTAACACAACGTCTCTGAAATCATTTCCATTGTTGCACAGCTAATTCAGTTCTTTCCACTTCAGACTCAACATATGCTGAGTCCAAACTGTTCAATGGATATGTCTAATTTACCATCTTGAAAGAAACATTCAAAATTAATATTTTTTAAGGACATACAATTAAATCCTGAGGAGTCTATGTAGAAATGTTATCAGAAGCTGTCTCAACTTAGGGGAAGTCTTTGTCTTCATTAACATAGCAGTCTAATGGAATTAATATCAAAAATCTTGGAAAAATCCCACACTATTCATTCAATTTTCATGATCTCCACCTTGGTTATTTTTAAGTACTAAAATTTGATACTTATTTCTGAATGAAGTCATCTCTTTATTGTATTTTTTTTTTTCCTTTTTTTGATTTATGGTGCTCTTTAAGTGGCAAAGATTCATGTAATTCAAGAGAGAAGTGTGATTCAGAGGGATTCTTTTATGTGATACATGATAAACACATACAAGGTTATATGTCAACTTAAAAAATAAGTAAATAACTTTAAAGAAAAAATTACTTTATACCTAGCTTGTCCAACCCATGGGTGACAGGCTACATGTAGCCCAGGACAGCTTTGAATGCAGCCCAACACAAATTTGTAAACTTTCCCGAAACATTATGAGGGTGTTTTGTTGTTGTTGTTTGTTTTTTTATAGCTCATCAGCTGTTGTTAGTATTAGTGTATTTTATTGGTGTATTTTAAAAGATAATTCTCCTTTTAATGTAGCCCAGGGAAGCCATTCATGTTTTAGACTGAGAAACAAGACACCCCACATTTGCAATGCCTAAAAGCACTGCCAGCCATGCAAGAAACCTGAGACTGGTAACTTCCATTCTTTCTTGAAGCAGTGGAATCCCATGGTGATATCTGAGGGGTATGGTTACCTCTTGGAGGAGGTTAAGGGTTTCTAAGAATTATTTGTGACTGAAATATTGTAAATGTCATTGAATCTCCTCATTATTTCAACTGTTATTATTCCAGATTATCAATCTTTTCTGCCTGACTGTTTTCATCCTGGGCCTCACTTTTTTGTAATTCCTTAGACACTTATTATTGTTGTGATCCTGGGAATTTCTACACTTGACATTTTCTTCTGGAAATTTAGCCTTGGTATGAGTATGCTAACTTCCTATAGAGATAGACTTGTAATCATAAATAAGAAATTAGTTATAACAATCTATAGTTCCAGACTTCACTATGAATATTGGGTTTTACCAAACAAATTCAGGGAAATGATTTATTAGCATAAGAATTATGAAAATATCTGTCATCTACTTTATGAAAATTAAATAGGTTGGTGTTTAATAGAATGTCAACAGAGCCTTTGATCAAAAATAAGTTTTCTTTTTTTTTTTTTTTTTTTGGGACGGAGTTTCGCTCTTGTTACCCAGGCTGGAGTGCAATGGCGCGATCTCGGCTCACCGCAACCTCCGCCTCCCGGGTTCAGGCAATTCTCCTGCTTCAGCCTCCTGAGTAGCTGGGATTACAGGCACGCACCACCATGCCCAGCTAATTTTTTGTATTTTTAGTAGAGACGGGGTTTCACCGTGTTGACCAGGATGGTCTCGATCTCTTGACCTCGTGATCCACCCGCCTCGGCCTCCCAAAGTGCTGGGATTACAGGCTTGAGCCACCGCGCCTGGCCCATAAGTTTTCTTAAAATTTATTTTTATTTTATCTTTGTGCTCTTTATCAGAAATGGAATATGAAGTTTCACCACTTAAATAGGAAATTCTTTTTAACCATTTCTGCTTTATAGTTATATTGTATGGGTGGAAGAAAAGTTTCCAGACACCTCTCTAAGAGTTCCTTGCAGAAACGAACTGACAACAGGCAGCTTAACAGGAGAAGAAAAACCAGAACCTTATTAGCAGGCATAAACATGGGAGCCAGCTAAGAAAATGAGACTGCAAGAAGGGCCAGATGGTTGATACTTAAAGAACACCCTCTTTTCAGGGGAGAGGGAGATGGAGATGTAGGCAATTTAGAAGGGCAGCAAGTAATTTTTAGGGGAAATGAAAAAGCCCAAGGAACAGACAGTTGGCCTGAGACAGGGTTCCTCTGAGATCATAGGGAAGAGGTGACAAACTGTGGGAAGATGAAAGGTGGAATCACACTGCACTGCATCTCATGATGCAGAGAAAGCCCCAGAGAATCTCTTGGAACCTTCTGAAGAATAAATGAAAAATATGTCTGGGCAGGGTAATGAGTGGTAATTTCAAATGACATCATTCAAAGTCATGTTCCTGGTTGCAACTTGAGAGGAATCAATATGCCAAAAGTCTATACCTGGTATAAATTTGGCTGCTAAGTTGTGTCATAATTGGCTTTGAGCCTTTTTGTCCATTGAGTAAATTGAGCTCTACATTTTCTCTTACTGTTCAGTACGGTAAAAGTGTGGGTGTTTGGGGACTGAACCATCTTCTGAACAATGATCCAAGAAAAAAGTCCTAATACCACAATGCTTTTTTATATTCAAGGGAAGAGGAAGTATGTTTTATTTTTACAACCTAGATAATTACACATTATTTGGCACTGCCCTTCAAGATATGTAGAAAACGGAAAATATGTGAGTTATGAAGATATCTAGGCCCATTGCACAGTGCCTACCCCACCTAGTCCTGAACAGAAAATTTTCAGTGTGACTTGGGGAAGTTTTTTAATGGACCACTTTAAAAATCTTCCATTAAGAAAAGTTTAGTTGAACTGTTTGACTTGGACAACTTTGTCCCTTCTCATTTTCTTGTCCTCTGGTCATCTGTCGCATTATCTCCTAAGCAGGGACATTGTGGGTGCCATGAAACGTTCATGCCTCGTGGTGTTTCTTTGCTTATCATTTCTTCATGTGTTTCTCCTAGGTCCAAACTGGGCTAGCTTCTTTCCCATAAAATCTAGCAGTAGCTGTGGGATAGATGTGGTTGCTTTTTCATCTTTTTAGATTACCCATTGCTTCTATTGAAATGCTAGTACATGTTTTGTTTCTAAGTTATGTACAGAAATCACAAGAAAATAATTTTGCAGAGAACTTGAAAGATGTTATTTCAATGAATACTCAGGAATTTCAGAGGTATATGACCCACATCTATGACAGAATTTGCATTGCGTCTTAGCTATAATGAGAACAAATATTTCATGTTTTAGAAGATTAAAATCATACGATGTCTATATGGAATTCTTCCTGGGTATTCATTCATTAGGGGAATGTTTTGCATTGGGTTCAACCAGCCTCAGTGAAGCTGGTATCAGGAAAGGGAAAGTGGACTCTGAGGAGAGCAGGGACAGATGGAAGATGCTCCTCTGCAGATCAGGAAGGAGCAGAGGATGAAATGTTACAAATTCTAGAACTCAGAGAACTGAAGGCAATTACTTTCTTTTCAAATTATGAAACATTCTAACCTGTGGTAAAATATTCATAACATGATAATTATCATCTTAACCATGTTAAAGTGTACAATTCAGTTGTGTAAAGTATGTTCACATCATTGTTCAAGTATTATTTCCTAGATACTGCTCCTCAAGTCTATCTTAAAGGCACGAAATGTAAATGATGGATACATGGATTCACAGCTGAGAGCCTGGAGGTCCAATAGCCTAGCCAGGAAGGTATGTTATCTGTTGGAGTCCACAGTGTGTAGATATGAATTTGCCTTGAAATAGGAAAGAACAGCTTCTTTCCCTCAGATTTCTCACCTTATCCTCTCCCCACCCTAACCAAAGGCTCAGGTCCACTTGTAGGCACACAAAGAAAAGGGTTTTATTATTTCCAGGAATTAAAATGGACTTGGAAGACCTCTTCATGGAGATCTATGGAAGCCAAAGTGTGAGCTATAGTACAAAAGGTGACGATGAAGGTAGACAGTCATTATGAAACCTAAAGCCAAAGAAAGACTGTTGAGGAAGAGTAAGATGTTCATTGACACAAATACTGTTGTATGAACCATGTGCCAACCAAAGTAGACAACTGCAATGTCCTTGAGAATATTTTCTGCAACATTTGTGGCAAATTCAGTGGGTACAAAATTGAGTTTGTCCTTCTTGCTTGATTAGTGTAATCTGTGTATTTCTTTTCCCTTCTTACATACTTGTTTGTAATTTATTTTAGGGGCAGGAAGTAGTACTGGTACTGGCATTGTTAAATTCAATACTTGGGTCACTTCTGGATTTATTTTCACAGTCTTTTAGGTTTTGGTCATATTACATTGTATTTGACCAATACAATGTATTTATTTTAAGACTGCCATACGACTAGTCTTAAAATTAAAAGTGAGACACTGGTTTAAAAATATTTAGCAATGAATTGAGGCCTAATAGCATGTTGTCTTGCCACAGAAAAGTTGGGAGTCTACTTCTGGGTATGATCAGGGGTCCTAGCACGCTTGGATGCCCTTTATTCATTCAGCAGTTGAGGTCATTAGTACAGGTTCAGTCCCAACAAAGGGCAGGGTATTTCCTGTCCACTGCTATTCCTGGAGTATGACTCTTCTGGGTCCCCACCAAAGCCAGTGGACTTTAGTAGGTATCACCTTCATTGGCAAACCCTCAGTCCACTTGTCTTCCATTGAACCCCATGCATGTGTGCAAAAGCTGCTCTGCTTTTTTTGCAGCTCTGTAGTCCCTTCTGGTAGTCAGTGATGAAACTCAGGGAAATTGGCCTCAGATGTGAGACTGATAGTTGTTCTGGGTTTCCTTCTTCTGCATCTTGGCTTCATGTCTCTTTATTGCCATGTTAGCAATTCAGTGCATTCAATCATGGATTTTATATTCTGTCTGATGTCCCTCATTGTTCTCATAGGGCATCAGAAGCTTCAGATGCACTTGTATTTACTCAAGAGCAGAATGCTTCCTTAGCTTCCCTCCAGATTTAGGTTTTGTGTTTCTAAGTTCCTAAGTGCACAGCAGGAGTAGTGATGTCCTCATTGGCTTCTTATTTGCATTAAACTGTGAGCTCCTTTAGGGTGGAGATGGGACCTTGCTCATATTGCATCCTCAGCACCTTACAACACACTCCTTGCTCCAGGTCACTCCAGACAGCATGTGCTGGAGGATGGCCTAGATGGTCAGAAACGAGTGCATTCACTTTCTCTTTGAAGTGTTTTTGTCCTTGTTTCCTAGAGTTTGTGACATTTTACATGTCTGTCATATAAAATCAAGTATCAAGTGAGATCCTTAAATCCATAAATCAAGTAGTGTGAGGGCAACACAGCAAAAACACCAGGGTGGATTGTTTGCAGATGTTTCCTATTTTCATGACCTATCACCTTGACTAAGGAGCCATTCAGATCATTTCTAATTCAGTAGATGTACCCACCACTCAGATTGACCTTTTCTGTCAACCAGAATCTTTAAAATCCTTAACAAGAATTTTAGTCCTGAATCATGGAAATGTGCAGTAGTGAACTGCAGGGTTAATGACAGCATGTCCTGGAAGGATCTCTCTATGGCTGATTGTCTGGTTCTGGCATCAGCCTCTGACAGAAAATCAGGTCTCCCTATGGGAGGAGTCAGATGACAGCAATCCCCTGCTCCATCCTGATGGAGTTAGATGTGACAAGTTGGTGAGGTCTGGTTTTCCACCCTGAACTAAAATGAGCTTTTGCTGTGTCAAGCACAACACTGACCCCAGAAGTACACATAATGTGTCCCATAGAAGCTTTTAATAGTCCTTCTTTACTAAAGAATAGGAATATAGAGCTATGAAGATGAGCTGGAAATGACAGGTGACTTGCCAGCAGGCCAGAATATGATTTTGTCCCTTAATGGAGGTGTAAATTCTCCCTCTGGTTGTGAGTATCAGTTGGTTCATTTATGGGAAGGTTGGCAGAGGACCTTGGAATCACAGCTTTCAGGTGCTGGAAGGGAGGAAAGAATTCCACACAGAGTGGAGGATCATGTGCATGCATTTCTCCTTGTCTCAGGAAGCTGAGAATGAAAGAACATGAGTGAGCAGAAAAGGAGAGGTAGCTGTTGGAGGTAGAGGAAAATGTGAAAGTAGTTATTTAAAAAATATACACATACAAGTGAGTTCAGAAACTGAACAGCAGCCTCTTGATAAACACCCATTGGAGTGCCTTGTTTTTAACCTTTGTACAATGTTAGACCCAGATAACACAGAAACAGGAACAAATGGTCAGAAGATATACCTAGAGAGAGAGAGAATTCACACAAGAGAAAACTAAGTATCTTAAGATTTACCAGTACCAAAACGTGAAGTAGCAAAACATCTCCTGGCCCCAAGTTAGGCCAGACTGTGTGGATTGTAGAAACTTGGTTTATACCAGACGTTCTACTAGGGATGGTGTGAGGTTGCATCATCCTTAGGAAAGCATGTTGCTATAGAATCAATTACATCCTTCAAAAGGACTGTGCCTGTTTATAAGCCCAGGTATTTGTGCCCTGTGAAATACAGCAAGAATATTAATAAAAGGAGAATAGAACTTTATGATAAAAGATGTCCATTGAAGGATGAATTAGGGATATACTGAGAATGGGTAAGGAAATTGTCCATTCAGAAGCCAGCAGGCATTAAGTAAAAGAGGAGGAATAATTATAGCAACAGTTTTGATCATACTGTACTTTTATAGCCATGTGAACTGTTTTCTATGTATAGTTTGTGTAAGGGTAAGTTGTGAGGATAATGCGAACATGGCAGATTATTTAAAATCATACTGAAAATGGAAGTTTATCTGACAAAAGTGATTCTAAACCGTAGGAAAATGATTCAAAACACAGAAGAGCTGCGGCTGTGAGTAGAGGACTCCTACAGACGCAACGTAAGGAGCCTTTCTCCCTGCAGTTGCAGGATCCTTCAGTGCTGATGCAGATGATGCCACAGTCCTTAAATTCTCTTAACATACATTTCTCATATGTTGGCTTTTTCAGATTACCCCCTCTGCAAGAATGGATCTCGACAACTGGGTAAGTGTGATTTTGTTTTTGTTTTCCTTGCTTTTGTGCATAGTCTGCCAGGTCAGAACATGGATGTACTTTCTTCCCCCACAGTTCTGTGCTCAAGCTTTGCAGAGGGAGATGGCAGAGAGGAAGGCTGCCTGCAAGCAGTGCAGGTAGGTAATTGTGATGGATATTTCAAAGAATGTTTTTGTTTTAAGATGAAGTTTTGAGTGTCTAGTAAGACCTTGGTGTTTTAATTCTTCTTCAAGTCAATTCTTTCTCTGTCATCAAGATGGAAATGATGGAAAAACAGTGTGCCAGAGAGACACATGAGTCAGAAGCTAGCCCAAAGACAAGACAATGGGGCCTAGAAAACCCTTTCTGGAGAGGTAGGAGCTCGTAGTGAAGGTGGCTGCTTAACTTCTGCTGCACAGTCCACACACCATGCTTCTCCTTTTGGAGGTGAGGACTTGGGTGGAGCAATTGTTAAGTTTCCTAGAAACAGTTCCAAACACTTAACTAAAAAGAACAGTTGCCCCTCTGGGTGGCAGAAACCTATTTTTTTCAGGTGCCCCAGCTGAATGCCTCTTGGCTGGTCCCCTGTGAATGGTGGAGCTCAGGTCCCCCACCCTGATGTCTTGGTTACTTTTAACTGAGGAGATGGTCTTAGAAGGCAAATAGGCCAGTTCCCCCTCCCACTTTTAGTTAATGTGAAGTCTTTATTTTTCTTTCATTTGAGAAAATTAACACCAATAACATTTTAGAATGTGAGCCATATGTGCTGATGAGAGCAGAAATTTTCTGGCTATGTCTTCATGGATCGATATTGTACCATGAGATCTGCTGTAAAAGAAGCATTTATTTACACTTTTTGGAGCTTCGTTTATTCTTTTTCTTTAAATTGTTTATTGTGAACTATATAACTCCGTTAGTAAATTAAATGTCTATGTAATCTTACTCCTCTAACATTTTAAATGTAACCCTAAAGCTTTCCAGTTAATTTCTGTAGCTCTTAACTTTTCTCATTACTGTTAGTCTCTTTATGTCCATCTCTGTTCATAAATATTGATAATACCTGGTCAGATATGGAAGTTAGATTAACTACAAATCCACAGAATTTTGAATGCCCCCATGGCTTGAGGAAAAGAAACAATGCTGTTCCTACTCAGGGTTTATTGATATTCTTCCCATCCATGGCTGTTCCTATTTTAATTTTGAGTCTGTGTTTACATGATGAGTGATTTTCTCTGAAACATACTGGGAACCTCTGATTTGGACTCAATACCATCTGGTTAGAGCCCTACCTGTCCACAGCCTGTTGATAGTTAAGAAAGCCCCTGGACCAGGGCTCTGTGATGTCTTCCTCAAGGATGAGTGCCCAGAGGGCTCTAGCATCCTCTGAGGCATCTGGTCAATAAACCCTGTGTCTCTGGTAAGGGACCTGAGTGTGGTAAAGAGAGTAAGATTGCAGCAGAGGGCAGAGATGTTTCTCATTCTGCACAGAACATGCAAGCCAGATTAAGCCTTGTTCACTTCTCTGGCTCTTAGCAGATTCAGGACCTCATTTGGCTCCCATGAGGAACAGCAGCTGTGTCCTAACTGAAAACACAGAGAAGACAAAGTAAATGCTGGGGTCATTTTCACGCTATTTCGGTACACTTTTGTCTTTTCCTACAGTACCCTTTTCCTGGCCTGGCCTTTGCTTTGTGGGTTCTGTGGTCCCTTTTCTGTCTTGACATTTTCAAGAGCAAAGCCTTTCCCGTGAGCTTTCAGGCTTCTCCATTCTCAGCTGGCCATCTTTGGTGATACCTCCAGAGACCATAAATGCTTAGGGGGCAAGGGCTGAAGGGCTTTCACTGTTCTGTTTACAGAAATAACATGAAGAAGTGCCACTTAACTCCACTGCTGTAGGTCTCATGGCCCAGTGGACCCTGACTGATTCCCTTTTTTCAAGATATTGTGGGATTCCCTTTCCAAAATATGTGCGGTTTTCTTTTTTTTGCTGTGATTTTATTTCTTTTCTACTATAAGGTAGGTGATTAACCTTTAGAATATCTGCTGTAATCCCAGAAGTGAAAAAATGAAAACTCATTAATCCAACATTAATATGTGCTTTGTGTAATTTTGAATGCACTTTGACAAAGTTAATTCCATCATTCGTCACAATCCCATCTATGTCAGTAACGGTGTTGAACAAGACCACCCCCACTTCCACGCAGTGGTGCCCTTGATCAAATATTCTAAGTGTCAGAGATTTCATTTTTATAATAGAAAATGTGGCCTGGCTGTGAGGTAGGGAAGAGTGAACGTCACTCATTGCTTACAGGGACACTTCCCAATGAAGGTCTTAAATGATGCTCAGCTAAGCTGGTTCTTGTGTGGCCTCTGTAGCTTCAACAGCTGCTGAGTCCTCTGATCCCATATGATGGGACTTGTACACTTGAAATCAAACACATTTTTAAAACTTCTGTTTAGAATTCCCACCTCATTTTCCCATGGACAGAATTATTCTTTATGTAATAGTGCACTTAAAATTTGGTATCACCTGGGAGTTAAAAGAAATATAGCCGTGCGTCCCTTTCGGCCGAAACTGCCATCTTCCAGTAATTCGCCAAAATGATGAACACAAAGGGAAAGAGGAGCGGCACTCGATACATGTTCTCTAGGCCTTTTAGAAAACATGGAGTTGTTCCTTTGGCCACGTATATGCGAATCTATAAGAAAGGTGATATTGTAGACATCAACGGAATGGGTACTGTGCAAAAAGGAATGCCCCACAAATGTTATCATGGCAAAACTGGAAGAGTCTACAGTGTTACCCAGCATGCTGTTGGCATTGTTGTAAACAAACAAGTTAAGGGCAAGATTCTTGCCAAGAGAATTAATGTACGTATTGAGCACATCAAGCACTCTAAGAGCGAGATAGCTTCCTAAAACGTGTGAAGGAAAATGATCAGAAAAAGAAGCCAAAGAGAAAGGTACCTGGGTCCAACTGAAGCGCCAGCCTGCTCCACCCAGAGAAGCACACTTTGTGAGAACCAATGGGAAGGAGCCTGAGCTGCAGGAACCTATTCCCTATGAATTCATGGCATAATAGGTGTTAAAAAAAAAATAAAAGACCTCTGGACTGTAAAAAAAAAAAAAAAAAAAAAAAAAGAAAAAGAAATATAGCCGTGCCAGACTAACATCTGCATGTAGGATTGTTCTGTCAGAAAACTCTCTCCCAGGTCCCCTTGCAGGTCTTCAGGAATCCACATCTCCCCAGAGCTCTTTGTGCCCACAGGTGGCACCTCCAGAGTGGAGAAGACTCTTC